ATCCTGGTGGCCCAGAATAGCTGCATGCTCAGAGCCAGCAGCCTGGGAGGGACCTGGTGGCCACAAAGACCTGGTGACACGTGCCAGGGCAAGCAGTCACACTGAGGCTGATATTGTATTTCTCCTTGAGGGCCAGAGCTGGGTGACAGAGCAGCCCCTGGGCCTCTCTGCTGGCCCCCAATGACCCCTCAGCCATGGGCAGGGTTAGGGCTGTGGGGATGGAGTGAGGAATGGGACTGCTCTCTGTGCCCCCCCTGCTCTCTGTGCCCCCTCCCTACAGCCTTCAGCCTGAGATTTGGTTCAGCACAGGTCCCACCACGCAGCCCCATCAGCTCTGCTCAGCTCCTGCCTGGCAGAGTCCTCCGAGGACTTCCCAGGGGAACCTGCAAACCTCTTAAATGTGTTGCCTTTTTAAAAATTAACCTACTTTCCGTGTGGATTTCTGGCTTCTTTTCCCTACTGTTTGCATGATTAACTCTGCACCGCTCCTTTTCAAACACGACTCCCATTTGTAAATCCTGCTGTGCGGAACCAAGTGAGTAGCAGTGAAAATTTGTCTTTTTGACTGAAAGTTTGTTTGACCTGAGCTTTCACTGAGTGCTTTGTCTGCTCTAGATATAGCCTGCTTTTCCTTTTTTAACTAATTTTAGATTTACCTGAGGCAGAGCTGTGTGAAAGGATGGCCTTATTACCACCAGCTGAGCCCAGTCCTGGCTTCACTGGGTCGGTGCTGCTGTCAGCAAATGCCTCTTTAGCAGGAGTAGTAAAAGAGAGGAGAAACCAGGAGATGTCACAGCCCCCTCCTCTCCCCTTCCCCCTTCTCTGCCCACCCAGAGATGAGAGCTGACGGTTGCTCTGCGGGGCCGCGTTTGTTGTCACTGGCAATGAGCAGGGCTGCTTTTAATTTTCTAATGTAATGTGAGCTGATTAGGGGATTATCTGCTGGCGGCTCACAGGGGTGTGCCTAGGATTTCACAGCTCAGGGATGGTGGCAGTGTCACCCCCCCCTGCACTGTGCCCAGTGGTGCCAGGCAGGTGAGTCAGAGGAAGGGGAAAAAAGCACACAAAGCCCAGGCCCACTGCTGCCATTCCCCTCCTTATGGCTCTGCTCTGTGCTCTTGGGGCCATTATCCTTTCCCTCCCCGTCATCTCTCTCCCCATGGAGAGCACTGGCTGCAGCAGAGCTGCACGTCCGAGTTCATTTATGTGGTGGGATGGACGTGAAGCAGCCAACAGCTTTGGTAGCACCCAACAAAAACTGCCAATAGGCTGAAAACTGCCCAGTGATGGGAGACTGTGACTGCTGCCTGCAAGCTTAGGCTCTAAATATCCCAGAACTTACTGTCACTTCAGAAATAAGAGATCCTGAGCTCTGAGTCATAGGGAAAGGGCTTTCCAGATAAGCCAAGGACAAAAGAAACTGAATTCTCTGCCTGTCCCTACTTCACATCACCCAGAGATTTGCTCATCGTTTGCCAGGATGCGCTTAGCAATGAGAAACCTGGCAGTGGGCTGTGAGCCCCGGCTGCTTACCAGACCCTGGTGGTGACCTTCATGTCCCTGAGTTCAGTCATTCCCTCAAGGATTCCTCTGTTGATGCTGGAAGCTGACACGTGAGGTGGTGACATGGGGGATTTTCCCATTTCAGAAACACTGCGACAGGCAGAAGGCAAACCTGAGGATCCGCTTCAAGCCCTCGCTCTTCCAGCACGTGGGAACCCACTCATCTTTGGCTGGGAAGATCCAGAAGCTAAAGGTGAGTACTGAGCAGTCTCTGACCCTGAGAGTAGAGACATCCCCTCTGCTGCTGCAGACAAATTAGATGGTATAAGGCCTTTGATAAGCTGCCCCTCACCTGGCAGAGAGCTGGTGTATGCAGAGTTCTGTGACATTTGGAAGTTGCATTCAAGCTGTTGGCTGAGACACAGGGAGCAGCAGTGCTCCATTCTTCGCTGTGCAAATCAAGAGCTTTTAATTTGCACTGCCTTGTTGGAAACCACATTTCTCATGGCTGAGAGCAGCTTGTGACCCTTTCCTGCCTTCTTGCTTTGCCTCCATCAAGGACAAGGACTTTGGCAAACATGCCCTGCGGAAGGAACACGTCAACCCTCCTGCGGAGGTGAGCACCAGCCTGAAAACCTACCAGCACTTCACCCTGGAGAAGGCTTACCTGAGAGAGGATTTCTTCTGGGCCTTCACGCCCACCGCTGGAGACTTCATCAGATTCAGATTCTTCAAACCACTCCGCATTGAAAGGCCGGTGCTTGGGGGCTGCATGGGGAGGGGACACCGGGTGGGCACAGAGTGTGAGGAGATACTTCTCTCGTGTTCTCCTGGCTTTCCCGGTTGGGCTGAATTCTTTGCCCATCCCCATTACAGCTCCCTGGGAGGAGAGAGAGCAGTGCTCTGCCAGGGGGAGGGCGATTTGACCTGACCCTTTTTGGTGGGTCCATGTCTGCTGGAACCCTTTGCTTTCCTGCACTTAGGAACAACCCAGAGGGTACCTGGTACAGGTCTCCTTACCACCCACGTACTTTCTAGGAAGGCACCTCTTAGGTTGAAATGTTTGATGGCTCACTTGGGTAAAAGTCATCACATCCCTGTGCTCAATGTAGTTTTCTGTGCTTTTGGTCTCTGTCACAGGTTCTTCTTCCGCAGTGGGAACATTGAGCACCCTGAAGACAAACTCTTCAATACCACTGTGGAAGTTTTGCCATTTGACGTAAGTGTGTTAGTGAGAGCTGAGATGTGGGTGGAGTGGGAAGAAAAAGAGGATGGAGAAGGGGAAGCTACTGAGAACTGTCAGGAGAACCTTGAGTGCCTTTAGGAGGTGCTGGCAGCCTGAGCAGCTGATCCCCCGGTGCAGAATCGCCTTGGGAGCTGGGATGGGGCTGCCTACGGAGAATGCCCAGGTGGATGGGGTGGCTGCAAAGGAAGGGCTAAGGCAGGATGTGCAGCTCCCTGTGCTGGGCAGGGGAACGAGGTGCCACAGAGTGCTGAGACTTGCAAATAGCCAGGGGTGCTGTGGGGGGTGGCTCTGGGGGTTGCTTCTATTGCCTGGGGCTTTGGGGTGGCTCTCACTGCTGGTCCTGAGCTGAGAGCTCCTCTCCATCCTGCAGAGCCTGCAGTCAGACAAGGAAACCTTGCAGGAAGGAAGAGGTACAGCTGTCAGATACCACAGAACAGCCGATGGCTACATCCAGATAGGTATGGCAGGGAGGAGACCCTGCATCCATCCCCTGTGCTCATCTTCACATGACTTAAAGCTGTTCTTTGTTTGTTTGGAAAATAGGGCACAGGTATTGAGTGTGATTTTTTTCCTTTTTCTTTTTTTTTTTTTTTTTTTAATTATGCCCAAAATGGGACGCAGCAACAGGCTGAATGCTTGCTAACACTGTGGAAGGAAGCACTGCCTCCTGTGCCTTACCCCATCTCATCTATTACAGCACAGTGCTGCATCAGACTGTCTGCACTCTCCCCATTTTGTTCTAACTGATGGTTGCTGCTCCTCTCAGTGTAGCAGAGTGCACTCTGTGCTTCACTGATGGCTTCACTGATTGGTTTCAGCCCTTCCCTGTTGCCTGGGCCCTGTGTGCACAGTCTCCTTAGTTCCCTTGTTGACAGCCCCGCCTAACCTGTGCTCTCCTGCCAGGCTCCTTCTCCAAGGGTGTTGCAGAGGGCGAGGTGGACCCATCCTTTGGGCCGCTGGAAGCCATCCGCCTCTCCATCCAGACCGACTCCCCAGTGTGGATCATCCTGAGCGAGGTGCGCTGCTCTGCTGCCGTGACCACCCCGGCCTTATGATCTCCAGCATCCCATATTGTTCCATGCTATGTAATATGCTGCATTTACATGACTGCTTTCTTCCCTCCTCTCCTTTCAGATCTTTATCAAAAAAGCAGAGTGAAGCAGACATGATGAAGGATGGACACACGTAGCGCCCGGGTCCTTCTACCTCCCCCCACTCTTCCTCATTCCTGAACCGGCCGAGATGCGGGGATCGCGATGCCAGCGAGGTGGCACCCGGCTGCTGGGAGGAGCTGCACTCTGACCTGTGGGCACCAGACAGCCCTCCACGCCTTGGCTTCGAGGCCAGCATTGGTGCTGCGGGGCTTGGACAGACTTTCCTCTGCAAGGAGGAAAAAAAGCAAAAACCAAGCTGCCCTGCAGAGGGCTGGCTTTGCTCCCCTAGGCAAGACCCAGGCGCTCACCGCTCCTCCTGTGGGCGCGTTGTCAGTGTGCGGGCCGTTCATTGTTGGGAATGAGCTTTAGCTGTCATGGAAACTAAAAGCACCTTCAGCCCAAGAAAGGGGAATGGTGGCTGTGTTTGGGAACAGAGAGGGCCAGATTCAGACAGTTTCATCCTGCCCCTGCTTTGCAGGCTGATGCACGGGTGCAGGATCGCTGGGATGGGAACAGCCAGGGATCAACGTGTGCATCACTGTAGCACAGGCTCTGTAGCACTGATCCTGACCACGGCTGTAGATTCGGTGAGGGTGAGGACTGACCCTCCTGTGGTGGAGGAGGGACAAATCCAAAAGGGGGTTGGAGCTCTGAGTATGGCAGGGAAAAAAATAAACGCCACACTGTGCCTGCCAGCATTGAACACAGCCCCTTAACTCATGGTGAAGTCTCCAGTGTCTTCATGCCTTGAGATTGAGTGCAGAAAACAGCTTTTTAAATAACTATTACTGGTTGGTGTGAATTTTTTGGAAAAAAAAAAAAAAAGCAGAAGTAGCCCAGTTCAAAAATAGTAGGGATTAGTGTAAATCCCAATGTCTCTTCAGCTATACACTGGAATGCATTATACTACTTTAACGTGCTGTATTTTTTATTATTGGATACATTTGATTTTTCAAGTACATCTCTATATATAAATATATAAAATAATGTGCACTGTAATAAAAGCAAAATTTAAACCTTTGGTGCAGCTGTGAGAGGCACTTGGGGTGGGCTGGCATTCATTTGGGGCTGTCCCTGTTTCCTGCCCTGGGAATAAAAAAGCTTTCATCTGCTCTTTGCTCAGTTAGGAGCAAGGAATGTGCCTGCACCTCCAATGTGCAATTGTGAAATGGTTCTTAGGAAATGTGTTGTGAATTTGCAGGAGCTCTCCACTCAACAATGGCTGCAGCAGCACCTGGGGTTGTGGGAGAAGCTGAGATATGAATTGTGGAAGGACAGAGTCGTGGTGGGGGAGGTAAGGGCTGAGGCACCATCACTGCACCAGGGGAGGTTCAGGTTGGATAATAGGAAGCGTTTCTTCTCTGATGGAGTGGTGATGCAGTGTCACAGCTGCCCAGGGAGGTGGGGGGGAGGGGGGGGAAGGTTAGTGTCTCTGGGGGAATTGAGAACCATGGAGATGTGGCACTGAAGGACATGGTTATGGGCATGGTGGAGGTGGGCTGGGGTTGGACTTGGGGATCTTAGGGGGCCTTTTCCACCCTTAATGATTTTGTGATTAAAGACAGAAACGAGCACAGGTATTACCATTTGGACACAGTAAGGCTTACCCCCCCCTCTCCCCCTCCTCTCAGTTTGGATAAGGTCTCACACAAGCTCATACCCACTTCCAAGCTTTGATCACAGCAGCTTTTCCTATGGGACCCATCAGCCTGTGACATTCTCACCCTCTGTCCCCCATCCCCTTTGGCAATGAGAGATGATACCTATTGAGAACAGGCATTTATTTCTTGCATCTCCGCCGTGTGACGCTCCAGCAGGGATGAGGTGGGCGGTGGGACAGGAGGCTGACCGTCACACCGGGGCTGAGCTGAGCGCTCCGGGCAGCCGTGGCCTCACTCAGTGGGCACCGAGCAGCCTGAGGGGCCACATCAGCATCCACGGGCAGGACGGGGGCAGCAGGAAGTGTGCCAGCAGCCCGGCCACCGCCAGCCCCAGCAGCAGCCATAGCAGCCGGGCGCTGGCATACAGTGGCCCCAACCTGTGAGGAAATCTGTCAGCCGTGGGGATGAGCATCTCACACGTGGGTGGGGAGGGGAGCGCAGCCCTGAGTGTGACACCACGTCCCGCTCTGGGCTGTGCTTTGGGCGCTCACCGTCCCTGCGCGGCCTGCATGTAGCCTCGGAAGTAGCGGAAGCGTGCATGGAGGTACAGCACACCGCAGGCTGCAGCCACACCTGCAGGCCCAGCAGTGAGCAGGATGGGGGCTGCAGCTGTGGGAGAGCCGTGGCGGAGAGGGAACTGCCCTGTGGGTGCTCAGGGGACGCAGATGGGCACAGCTGCCTCAGGGTGCATTTCATCTGCTGGCCCTTACCTTGATGGAAGAAGATCCCAGCAACCCAGAGGACAGAGAGGAAGATGGGGAAGTACTCGGAGCAGTTCGCCCTGTGAGAAGCAGAGAGGAACGAAACCCACAGCCGGTGGGAGCCCAGAAGGACGTCCCAGAGCTGCACCCATAGGCTCAGTGACCTTATGGAGCCCTGAGCAATTCAGTCTTAAGTTTGGCCAAGAAGTCTCAGAAGCTCAGGGAATGCAGCCAGAGCGGGAGCTGGAAACTGTGAGGAAACAAATGCTGTGGCTACAGCCTGAGCAAGGGAGGCTGCCAGCTTTCCATAGTAATACATCAATACCTTCCCCCTCTCTCTTAAGACATAAAAACAAATGACCTATTTGCATCCTTTTCCACAGGGAAAAGAATGAAGGAAGGAAGAAAACACAAGGAAGAGAGCCCTCAGGCAGCCCTGCTTGGAGCTACAGCAGGAGGGGGCCGCACAGCACAGCATAGGATAGCATAGGATAGCACAGCACAGCACAGCATAGCACAGCACAGCACAGCATAGCACAGCACAGCATAGGATAGCATAGCACAGCACAGCACAGCATCACGCAGGCTGGCTCTTTGTGGCACCACTGAAGGAGCCAAGTGGGTGCTGTTGCCACTCCACCACCATCTCGCATCTGGTGGCAGAGAAACACATCAGCTCTGCTCTCAATGTACCCCTGCTCGGCCAATTCCTTTTGGCTGCTGATGGAATAGCACAAGCAAGATGAAACACGGACAGTGGTGCACGATGGAAGCCAGAGGGGTCTCCCAGCACTTCTCACTCCATAGAGCAGAGGAAGAATGAAAAGCCTCAACACGCGCCCACAGGTGCTCTCACAGCACCACATTTTCAGGTGATCACGAATTCCTGATATTGACATTTAACCCAAGCAATATCTGGGTGCAGCCACTGCAAATGACTAAACCTTACTGAGCCCTGAAGATCCGCTCAAAGTCGGGGTGACCCGTCGTCTCTGGGGGAGAGATCCTGTACTTCCGCCGGGCGTAGATCACCTGCAGTGCAAAGTAGGCTGGAAGAGAGCAACAGACAGAGGGTGACTGGCCGGCAGCATTGCATTCAACCACGTTTTCTCCAGTTCAGAGCCAAGCACAGGGCTGGAGGAAAATGGCACTGTGAGGTTCGTGGTCCCTGGGCTGTCACACGCAGCCAGGAATAAACGCGCCGTTCATTTCCTGCTCCTAGCAGATTTAACTCCAGATTTGGTTATCCACACAAGGTGTGAGGGGGATCGTGGCCAGCCTGGCACTGTGGGAAGGCTGCCTTGTGGAAACCTCAGCATCCCCATCACAGAACTACTCTCCTTTCACCCTTCTCTCTGTCCTTGGGGTATTTACATGCCCTCAGCTCTAAAAGAGCAGTTAATGCTTCCCACTACACCTAGTGGGGCAAGGATGGCATCACACCACACAGCATCCAAACACTGGGATGCCATTAGGTCAAGTAGAGATGCCCACAGTGACAGCACCGTGATGGGACGATGATCTCTGACACTTCACTCCCATAGGGCAGCCCTGTGGCTGGAGCAGCTCGAGGAGGGGGTGATGAGCTCAGGCCAGGAAAGGTCATTCCACAGTGATGAGGATTTGGACCGTTCCAACATCTGATGAATGATCATTACTCCCACCAGGGTCTGCTGATGACGTTTCAAGTGCTTAATTTTGCTTTTGTTGAAAACAAGGGTGTTCATCCAGGAGAACACGAACTATGAAACAGGCTGTGGTTGCTGTGGCAGAGCTGTGGCTGGGGTCAGTGAGGTGCCACAGGGCACTGAGAGGCAGACGAGGAGCCCACGAGGACCGTGCTGTGGCTGTCCTACTGTAAGACAGAGGATAAGAGCAGAGCAGCAGGACAGAGAGAGGAGACAGATGTTGCAAGATTAAAGATGAGCGAGAGCCACACATGCCTGCAGAAAAGCAATAGAACAGACATAGAGGGAAAGGGAATTAGAAATGTAAATAATCTGGTGCTATGTGACCTATTACACAACATTATCCACTTAGCTATCCACAGAAATGCACTGAAGACGACGTGCACATGTGCTGATGCCCTGTGCACAGCCCCATGCACGAGTGCTGGGGGTAGGCAGAGGGGATGAAGACCCCTCTGGGGACAGCTGAACGCTTCCTGCGCCAGATCCCACACACAGGTTTGGGGCAGTGCCCCGAGATGTGGCTGGGCCAGTGGGCAGAGATTGGGACACTTTTGGTTCTCAAAAGAAGGTGCTGAGAAGCTGCACTGCACAAACCTCCTCAGAAGGATGAAGAGCTCCATCTGCTCTGCAGAGCCCTCCATAATTTGCAGCCCTGTGGGTGCTCCAGAAGCATCGATCTGCAGCACTGAGGAACAGCTCAGTGGGCAGTATTGGCAGGCAGTTGGATGAGATGATCTTAGCAGCCTGTCCCAACCTTACTGACTCCATGCCTCCAGGTTAAACTCGAGTGGATGCCTCCATTCCCCATGAGGTTGCACCCCCAGACTCACCCACCGTCACCGGGGCTGGCAGCTCCACGCATCTGAATGCTCTTGGCAAACCTCTCAGTGGGGACTGGCAAGCTGTGACATTGCACAAGGTGCTTCCTGTGAAGCCACACTAAAAGGGGAAAGGAGAACCAACCCCAGTGGCAGCATTCTGCTCACAGACTGCATGGGACGCTGAAGGATCCCATAAAACAGATACATGGGGGGTGAAGGTGCTCTTTAGGGATGAGCTGATGAGGTTTCCCAGGGAAAAGGGCTCTGAAACACTTCCTTAATTCATTTCAAGTGTTCATCTTTCCTTCCCTGAATGCTGAGCGCTCCTTCCATCCCCACTTACATTAATAACCAAAAATGCATAAGACAAAACACTCTTCCATTTGATTCTCAGTCAATTGTCTGAGGGAAATGACCACTCTGGAGTCGTGAGCCCCCTTCTCCGAGCAGCACACTGGGGTTTGAGGTGAGACCTGCACTAAGAGATGCACCACCTGATGGCTGAAAACAACACAGAGCCACATCCAGCGGCTGTGAGCAAAGGGCCGACAGCTCCGTGGGGATGGACTCAGCAATAAAGACAAGAGCAGCAAAACCACCTGCCCTGCAGAATGGGACAGAGGGCTGAGCACGAGGCACAGACAGAACACAGCTCCTTCCATACATCTCTGATGTGTGTTTGAGTTCTCCACCAGTGCCTGCATGCACCCACCTTTCTTTCAGCCATTTCCAACCATCCAAGCCACACACAGCGCTCTGAAATCCTATCACAAACCACTCCGCTTTAAAACATTCAATCACTGATGGTATTCTAAGGTTAGAAGCAAAACTCCAGTTCCCATTTCCCTCTGGAACAGAGGCTTCCAGGCTCGCACAACTTTTTTTGCCCCAGTGACATCCCCAGGCACAATGCCTCCAACCTGGAGCAGCCACAGTGTGCAGCCACTCACCATCACAGAGGGCAGCAGCTTCCATCCTGCATGCACAGCAAGCAGAACAGGGGAACCAGCTCCGCATCATTTGATGCAATTAGGTTAATTAGTAACTGACACAAAGGCCATTTATTTACCTTGCTCCAGGACTCCCAGAACAGTGACAGCAGCCAGCAAGTCTACCTCGCTCCTCATGTTGCCTTCCATGAACCAACGTGCAAACGAAGCACAATGAGAAGAGCAGCTCTCCAGCCCTCCTCCCACCACTGCACACCCCACAGCAGAGCCCTATTCCCCTGCACAACACGTGTTTCCTCCAAGCATTAACTCTCCCCACACCCCTCAGCCTTCCAACTCAGGCTGCTGCCCACTGCCAGGAGAGCAGCAGCACGGGCTGCGTGTACTCAAAGTGATCCTTGGACATGTACAGGTTTGGCACTCAGGCTGATTATTGAAAAACAACGATGTCTTTACTGCTCACTTCAATCACTTCTGAAGTACCTATGTTCTATACAAGGTTGTGCAAATATTAGTCAGTACTCACAAATTAACGACGTGATCTGCTGCTCCTATTCCAAGATGCAGAATTGATCAGGGGAAGGACTTCATAGGCTTTAGTGGCATCCTTAGAAGAGCACTGGGATGCTTAGCCCATGACAAACGTAAGCTTACATAGCGCAGACCTTTTGAGCTCTGTCACTTCTTGTGGTTTTCTGGTGCTGTCACAGTTCTGCAGTACCACCATTTCCTCGCTAACATGCAAGCCAAAAGCTCTCCCTTCAAAAAGGGCGGCAGCACAGGGGAGAGAGATGGCTCAGAAATACCACAGTAACATCAGAACTATAAGCATGAAATGTAAAGAGCAGCAGTGTTTCATAGCCCTGAATGGCTTCTTTTCCTTAATCACAAAAACCAAATAGACATTGGCTCAAGAAATTACAAACCGGCCTGGAACAACAGGAGAAAAATAAAAGAGAACTCTGACTTCAAAGATGTGAAACGGGAGACAGAGAGAAAAAAGAAGAGAAGTTTTCCCCTAATGTTGATGGAGAGAAGGTGCAGGGAAGGGCTGAGCCACTGCATCTCCCCCCCCTGTGCAGATGCACACACAGCTTTATGCACAGCACCAACAAGGAATGAACAGACCTGCTGCTCATCCCAAGCGGGATGCTGCAAGTTCTCACTTCTGTTTTCCATCTTCAACTTCTCAAAACCCCACTGCAGCAGTTTCTCGAGCTGACTTCAACGTTACTCAAATACACAGCTGTGCGCTTTTCCTGGCAAAGCACACAAAATGTAGCACAAGAGCTCCCTATCCTCTCAAAACACAACTGGATTTTGGGTCTGCAGGCTGCTCTCAGGCCCGGACTGAAGGTTAATTGCTCTACTTCCATTTAATAGAAGCTGTTGGTGACCCACAGCTTCACACGGGTATCTACCCCGAAATTCAGACTGGGGATGTCACCAGACTGCTTTTGCTTACACCATTCCAGCAACCATACAGCATTTTAACATCAGCCAAAGAACAAAACCCAAAGTTCAATACATGGACAATTGTCCTTCAATGTGTGAAGCTGATTAAAATTCTACCTATGTAGGGGGATGCTGGGAATTGCTGTAACATGTGAGAGGAACACAGCCTTAGCAAGAAACACGGTTCTCATACTTCGCAGATTCTTCTTTATCACTTCTGCTTCATCTGTGGTTGGGGAGAGAGATGTGAGGTATTAGTTTGGAACTCCAGATTAGATATGATCAGTTAAAAGCTGCACTTAAACAGGAAACAATACATAAATAACTGAATTTGTAGCTTTACTGCAAGCAGCACGTTTCACTGCTAAGAGAACTGCTTCAGTTGAGCAATCCATCAATAATAGCTTGTTAGCAAGACGGTATTAAAACTCAAACTTATACCCCTGAAAACAATGACTCCCTTGGATGCTGATAGAGCCACAGATTTTTGCTTTATTTCTGACCATCCTATGTAGTGTTCAACCGAGAGCTCCATCAGTAGCACCAGATCCACTCTGCTACTGTTTGCCACCACCTCTTCACCCCACCAGCTCCAGACGCACGATGAAGCGACCGCAAACCCAGCAACTTTGGCAGCTTTAACCCAAACTTCTCATGTAGCTGCTGCCAGCATTTCTGCCCCCATTCAGCAGCACCAGCTCCAAAACTCAGATTTTGCACATTTTCTCACTTTCAAATTTAGAAATAAAAGAAGTGAAGTGATGCTTAATGACCAACACCTCCATGCTCACATTCCCAGCACGCAGAGACAGTGGCTGCAGCTCCTTCCCAGAGTTTTCTGCAGTCTCTTTATGCAGCGCTGGCTGACACTGCCTTTCAGTAGTAAGAACTGGTTAAGACACAGCAGCAGAACCTGAGCCCGTGCATCAGGTTGGCCAAAGCTGTGTGCTGGGATGAGGGAACCAACACACTGCAAACAACGCTGAACCCTCTGCTGCTCAGCTCTCACAAACGTATAACGTCACACCGTGCAGGTTTCATACACTAGCAAAATATTTATTTTATAATGATAAAACAGAAGTGAAGGATTTCTTTTTGGTGTGCACCAGTAATTGTAGTAAAAGAATAAGGGGATTAATGGACTCTTTATACATTTCAATGACAAAAATTCATAAAGGTTAGCATCAAATTCAACTGTTCTCCATTTACAAGCATAAAACTTACCATAATACCCCCCAAACACATATATAAAGAATTATAGTTTTAAAATCTATAAAAAGTAAAAAATATACAGTCAGAAGATCTCTTATTCAAATCTTTAATATAAAATTGTAAACATTTATTTACACAAAGGAAATGTGTATAACAAAATTTTGAGCACCCTTTTCAATCGAGTCGTGGTTTTTGGAAGGCAGTGGATGTTGCACAGTGACACTCTCACCTTTCCCACCCAACCAAAACCGCAGTTTATAAATAAAGCCATGGGCGGCTGGCCAGGTGCAGTTCAGGGGAGCTACATTTTATTGCTCTGAAGCTGCAGCAAATGGAAAGCCCAAGTGCATATACAGACAGCTACATGAAAAAGGGCATGAAGGCAAAGCTCAGCCCTACCCATGCACCTACAGACATCTAAACCGTATTTTCGTTTCCATTGAACTGTTTCAGCATTGTTACAGTGATACCGTAACAGTCTGATGTGGACAGGGCCCAAAAACAGAGGCAAGGGCTGTTTCTTCCTACCAGGTCAAGTGGTGTTTGGATCCCGTTCACATACGAAGACCAGCAGGCATTATAAGCCAGGCTGCCTAGAATCACACTTCATTTTAGTTCAACAGTACCATGAAAAGGCCCTGTCACCAAAACTCGATACCTTCCTGAACAAACCTCTGGTCAAACAGGGCAATATCCACCTTAGCTTCCAGAAACAGTGGAGGAAAGAGCACAGCTGCATTTCACTGGGCATTATGCTGGATTGCCTTTTTGGTAGCAATAATGCAAACAGAAGATGCTCTTTTCCTCTGATTAAGAAATTAAAAGCGGATGGACTTTTTTACTTATTCAGAACAAAGACTGTGTGCAAAATCTACCAGAGAACGTCGCAGATTTCAGCACACTAAACAGGGAAGAAAGAAAAGCTGAATCCTACTACCCTGTTATATCTCTCAAGTGTTTGTAAGGGGTAAAGGAAAAGTGGGGGAGTGGAAATAGCGACACTGAAGGGTGTCACTTGAAATTATGAGGTCCCAAACACCCCCAGCAGGAAGGGAAGGCACACTGGTGCAAAGTTAACCCTTAAAAACAAAAATACAGCAAACATTTCTTCCCCTGCCATTGCTAGTTTATCTATATGCTAACGACACTTACCTTGGACCAGTTTTTGGTTTAATACTAAACCACTCACTAGCTCTTTCCTTAGATTGCCTGTACAAGAAAAGTCAGCATCAGTTATTTGCATCTCAACTACTTATTCTAGAAAATATCATAAGTGTCAACAACCAAAGCAACTAACACCTTCGTCTTCCCATCCAAAGACAATCTTAGTTACCTCTTCAAAAGCTCTACAAGGGAGTAAGTCTGCTTCAGTGAAGTTCTATCCACTACTCAATGGTGGGATCCACTGATCAACGCGCATCTTTTGCCAACGGTTCAACGTGATGCAACATCAAATCTGTTCAACAGAGCGCAATTCATCCACACAGGGTGAGCATGTCGGACAAACCACGTTCCATGCATATTTGGAAAGGGTTAAAGTATTAGTGTTAAAAAAAAGCAGTTTTTAAAAGTGCAAATTGTCTGACAAAGGAGCTGCAGATACAGGAACACATTTTCCTTCTTCGAATTCCATGTTATCCTTCACTTCCCCTCACCCACTGGAATAAAACCCTCTCACACATTCTGCAGAGCGGAAAACTCCTGAAGAAGAACAGTCTGTTGAGGGAAATTGCTTTTAAATCACAACGCTGGGTTTGGTTAAAAAGTCTAAAGGAGTTTTCCAAAAGAAGTGGATTTAGAAAGGGAAGAGGTATTTGTGCATTTAAAACAAAAGCTTTCGAGTTTATTTTCATTTTAAAGTAAAGGTTAAGGCAAGGTGGTTTGTTGGTGGACAAGGGTTTTTTTTTTTGTTTTTTTTTTTTTTGGTAAAAGTAAGGACTTTGGAACACAGTCTGTTGCCATTGTGGTTTCTGTCCTTTCTGCGAGTAATCCCAACACGGATGAGAGGTCTCCCTGGGCTGAGCTTAAGAACCAGCATCTGCTTCAAGGGATATTAAAGGAGTAAACCCACCTGTCTACAGAAAGATTACCAAACTCATAACCCAGTATTAAAAACAAAAGTATTTAAAGGGGAGACTTCAATACTGGAGCAACCTTGATGCAAAGCATTCTCCCAGGCTGCTTGTGCTATTGTTACTGATAAGGACTTTTCACCTCTCAGCCAAGTTCTTTTTTTCCTCATTTTACCCTGAAGTGACAAAGTCTTGTGCTCATTGTGTCACTGCTAGCTTTGGGGGATGAACTGATCTCAAACGTTAGTTTTACTTTTTACAACAAAGAAAACTAAATGAGTTGTCATGAAGCAAAGCCTTCATTTAAATACAACTACCTTTGGAAATAAGTTATGAAGAAACAGGTGCAAAGGAAATGGCTTTACAATTCATGTTAAACCTACTATAGTTTAGAAGTTCTCCCATAAGAAATTCCCCCTTTAAACACAGTAAGGTATAAGCCAAGAACTGTGCCTCTCTACAACAGAGTGCAAACTGCAGCTTAAAAGACTACAAGAAGACTACCTTGACTAACTGGCCAGGTTTTAATACTTTCTTTCATCTATCACCAGCATCTAGAAACACTTACTGTGAAATATCACTTGCTTATTGAGAGTACAGGCACATGCTTCAGCGGTGGAAAAAGTTCACAACATCTTGCAAGCGTACTCGGGTGCATATAGCCTCTTCTCAAACAACAGTCAGACATGTGATGACAGTGCTATAATAGCACGTCAAGCTACGGACAATAATGATTGCAAGTAATAGCTGCAGAAAACTAAGCCCTAAATTTCTGCAACTATTTGCTTTCTTTCTGCACTATTTCTGTGAAACAGTTCTATTTTTAAATAATTAAAATTTTTCATTTTAGAACACTGCAAGTGAGATTTCTGACAGGCTGGATGGGACACATACAGCTTTGTTTGACCTGTCTAAACGTGCAACTCCCCAGAGACGCCAGGACAAAGCGCACTACTCCTGCAGACCTGCTTGGTGCGCCATTGCCACGCGTCAGCACTCACTGAGAAGCAGCTCCAGTCCCTTTCCCAACCATTTACCTCTAATGCCTGCAAGTCTCCTCAATGCCACAGGTTTTTTGGTCCAAGTGTTGTTTATATTTCATGAAATAATTAAAAAAATTAGAACCCCCCACCCCCAGCCCTGTTTTAATGAGTTCCCAACAACTCATCCAAATCATTCATCCACTCCTCCGAAGTCCTGTTTTTCAGCAAAGAGTCTATCAGATCTGTGTCACCAGATAAGTTCTGAAGTCCATTATTGCCTGACTGGCTGCCATAGGCAAAAGGCAGCTCTTGACTGGTTGTCCTCACAGGGTACCCTTGACTACAGTGCATATTACCTCTGTTGGGCATTTGTTGATTCGGATTCTGGTTGAAAGCATTCAGATCTGGAACAGTCTGGTTGATGCCAGGCAAGACTTGCTGTGAGGGTACCTGCTGTTGTGTAGGTGGGTTTGTCCGCTGCTGCGTGCC